TTCAGTACCAGGAGATATTGGATGGAAACGTGATGCAGTCCGTCACACACCTGAGGCTTGGGAGACGTTGGACCTTTCAACAGGACAATGATCCCAAGCATACCTCCAAGTCCACTAGAGCATGGTTGCAGAGGAAAGGCTGGAACATTTTGGAGTGGCCATCGCAGTCACCAGACTTAAATCCGATTGAGAACCTCTGGTGGGACTTAAAGAAAGCAGTTGCAGTGCGCAAGCCTAAGAATGTGACTGAACTGGAGGCCTTTGCCCGGGCGAAGATACCCGTAGATCGCTGCAAGACACTTGTGTCAAGCTATGCTTCACGTTTTAAAAGCTGTTATAACTGTAAAAGGATGCTGTACTAAGTACTAAGATTGAATGTCACTTGGGGGTTGAATAAAACTGATAATGCTGTGAGCACAGAAAAGACATTTGTGGTTATTTCATTATAACTGTTATGTTATATTTGTCTGACCTACAAGTGCCTCTTTAATGTAAATGTAAGCAAGATGACTGAATGATCAAAAGCAATGTCAAACTGGCCAAAACACTCAATTTCAGTGGGGGTTGAATAATTTTGGTCACAACTGTATATTATGCATTACATACACCATATTTTGGTGGTACAAGGACTGCAGCATATGTGCAGGTAGGCTCAGGGTCTAATTAACCTATTTAAACCCCTCCAGCTGTTAGTACGTGACCAAATCCAGTATTCTTCATGGAATGCTAGCTGCACCACATCTTAGCTTCCTTCAGGATGGCCAAGGGTGCCTCAGGTGCTTTTCACAATCTTAGCATTACCCCTGTTCCAAAGTTCAGTTGCCCCAGACATAAAAATGCAACGATACTCACCTCCTCCCCTCACTGCCTCCTGCAGACTGTTGGCTCCATCCTCCTCTGGCTGCTGCACTCCCAGGATAAAGGAGGTCATGCTACAATCATGTCTCATGCAATGTCATAAATCAAATTATGATTACAGTGCAGCTGGCCAGCTGGAAATTTTGGAGTGATTCTCCATTGTTCTCTTGTGATAGAGAAGAGTGATAAGTCGATGAAAGATGTTCTGTCTGTAGGAAATATAGGAACTGACATGGAAGAGTATTTGAGTAGACAATATGCATTTCAGTTGACCAAGAGATGTCTGAAAGGTCTGATAATTAAGAGAACGATAGTCAAACCACTGTCTGGGTATGGCTGGCCCCACATCAGCTCTGTCCATGCGGGAATAAATGAAACAGGCCCATGTGCCTGAGGCCCAAGGCTTGCTCCCCTAGTTACAGACTTTTATCATTCCCATGACAGCTCTGTAATGTTATTGATTGATGCTGAACATGCTCTTACCTCAATTGTCCTCACAATGAGAAGAGGTTATCCAGTTGTTTACATCTCTAGTGTGACGCAGAAGAGCAAATGTCACTGTCCTCTAGTTTGGTGATCCTTTCATTTACAGCGAACACATACAGAATACCGTATATCTCCTGCAGAGCAAAGCCTTTGTACAAATACTGGTTACTAATATATGTATATTATGCTGTCATTCCAGAGCCTTTCCTATTTTAAGGCTGAATGATAATCAGGGAAACATTTAGCATCAGATAATTGAGCTATCTGTGTGTGTATCCTAGTTAGATGTGTGGTCAGATGTCATTGTCCATGTATCACCAGGTTGCTGAGCCTCTGACAGTGCTTGAGGTTTAAAATGCAGAGATTGCTCCTAATGTGCATTCTGTTTTTGTAGCTCGTCCGCTTTATTCTAATTGCTGCTGATGTGATGCTGCATGCATTTTGTCCTCACCGGTTATGTATAATGTCTTTTAGTAATCTCTGCTGGAAACCGCAGAGCAAAGGAAGGAGAAAGCTTCTACTGAAGCCAGTACAGAACATCTAACCAATCCCTTAAAATTCAATCATTTTACCTATTTACGATGACTGCCTCATTCTTCTTATGAGCTCTGTTGTTGGTTTTTTTTTTTCACTGTGTTGATCGCAGCTTGTAGGACACCAGCAGTGAAATCCTTGTAATAACATGGTTTTCTCCCCAGTGACCCAGGCTCAATGTTTTGGCAGTCAGCTGCTACCTTGCCCCTAGGGCATTGTGCAGTACTGCTCCAGAAATTAAATATGCTTTTTTTATATACATCTGATCTCTGTATTTTACACATAAGAAGCACACAGCAAGAGTCGGCTCATAATATCATCATTTCCTAGCATTCTAGCACATTCAAGGATTTCTGTTAAGAGAGTCTTAGTATACCCACATATTATATCTACACAAAGGCCAGAGTGGGAGCTTTTATCCATTGTTAATTAAATATTTGGTTATGAGATAATTAACTGCCTGTTACGTCTGTCAGTTTGCATGCATAGATCTTAGTATTTTTAGCTTGGCACATTACTATTCTATGAAACAAAGATTTGTGCAATGTTTTCACAATATATAATATATATATATATATATATATATATATATATATATATATATATAGTATATATATATATATTTTAGTATATATATACACACACACACACACACTATATTGCCAAAAGTATTGGGACATCCCTTCAAATCATTGGATTCAGGTGTTCTAATCACCTCCATGGCTTCAGGTGTATAAAATCAAGCACCTAGGCATGCAGACTACTTGTACAAACATTTGTGAAAGAATAGATTGCTCTCAGGAGCTCAGTGAATTCAAGTGTGGTACCGTGAAATTTCCTTGCTACTAAATATTCCACGGTCAACTTTTAGTAGTATTATACCACAGCGTAACCAACTGGGAACAACAGTAACTCAGCCACGAAGTGGTAGGTCACATAAAATGACAGAGCAGGGTCAGCGCATGCTGAAGCGCACAGTGCACAGAAGTCGCCAACTGTCTGCAGAGTCAAAAGCTAAAGACCTCCAAACTTCGTGTTGCCCTCAGATTAGCACAGCAACAGTGTGTAGAGTTCTTCATGGGATGGGTTTCAATGGCCAAACAGATGCATCCAAGCCTTTCATCACCAAGTGCAATGCAAAGCATCAGATGCAGGGGTCTAAAGCCACTGGACTCTAGAGCAGTGGAGACGTGTTCTCTGGAGTAATGACTCACACTTCTCTGTCTGGCAATCCGATGGATATGTCTGGGTTTTGCGATTGCCAGGAGAACGGTACTCGCCTGACTGCATTGTGCCAAATGTAAAGTTTGGTGGAGAGGGGATTATGGTGTGGGTTTGTTTTTCAGGCATTGGGTTTGGCCCCTTAGTTCCAGTGAAGGGAACTCTTAAGGCGTCAGCATACCAAGACATTTTGGAAAATTTGATGCTCCCAACTTTGTGAGAATAGTTTTGGGATGGCCCCTCCCTGTTCCAATGTGACTGTGCACCAGTGCATAAAACAAGGTCCATAAAGACATGGATGAGTGAGTTTTGGGGTGGAGGGACTTGACTGGCCTGCACAGAGTCCTGACCTCAACCCGATAGAACACCTTTGGGATGAATTAGAGTGGAGACCGCGAGCCAGGCCTTCTCGTCTCACATCAGTCGACACAAATGTGCTTCAAGAAGAATGGTAGAATTCTTCCCCAAACTTTCCCATAGACACACTCGTAAACCTTGTGGACAGCCTTCCCATAAGAGTTGAAGCTGGTATAGCAGCAAAGGGTGGGCCAACTCAATATCGAACCCTATGGACTAGGATGCCATTAAAGTTCATGTGTGTGTAAAGGCAGGTGTTCCAATACTTCTGGCAATATAGTGTGTGTGTATATATATATATATATATATACTGTATATAAATACACGCAGACTCAGCATAAATAAGTACACCCCTTTTGAAAATTAATATTTTATTCAATACCTCAATGAACACATGAACAATTTCCAAAACTTTGACAAAACTGAGTTTTATAGAACATGTGTTTAGCTCATTACAAGTAAGGTTAATAGTATAACTTAGATGACAAAATCTTCAGTTTTACTCAAATTAGTTGATGCAAAAATGAATACACCCCACAACAAAAACTCCATCCAGTATTTTGTATGACCTCCATGTTTTGTAAGGACAGCACCAAGTCTTCTAGGAATGGAATGAACAAGTTGGCGACATGTTGCAATATTGCAACATCTATCTTTTTTCATTCTTCAAGAATGACCTCTTTTAGAGCCTGGATGCTGGATGGAGAGTGATGCTAAACTTGTCTCTTCAGAATTCCCCATAGGTGTTCAATTGAGTTCAGATCAGGAAACATACTTGGCCACTGGATACATCAATAATAATGGCGACACTATGTGCTCACAATTCAGGTCACAGCAGACCTAGTAGGTGACTAAAAGTGAACCCAATCCCATAAAGGGATCAAAGTAACTTGACCCTTAGTCCCCACAATTGAGGTTGCAGCCTAAAATATACTATATGTATTGCATTTGGTACTGAGTGCTACACCACTTTTTTCACTAATATCTACTTACCTACAGGTTTAGGATTAGGTGTTCAGCTGCTAGTAGTGTTATCACACAATTGTTTCCATCTCAGCGCGGGGAGACCCTCTAGTTATTTGATACTTGGCCACTGAATCACTTTCACCCAGTTCATCTTCAGAAATGCAACAGTAGCCTTAGATGTGTGTTTTGTTTCATTGTTGTGTTGGAAAAGTGCATGACGACCAAGGGCATGGAGTGATGGTAGCACCTTCTCTTTCAATACAGAGTAGTACATCTGTGAATTCATAATACCATCAATAAAATGTAGCTCTCCAACATCAGCAGCACTCATGCAGCCCCACAAAAGGACACTACTACCACCATGTTTCACTGTAGGCTATATTCATTTTTCTTTGTACCTTTGCGACGCCATACAGTTTTGAAGCCATCAGTTCCAAAAACATTTATCTTGGTCTCATCACTCCAGAGTACAGAGCCCCAGAAGTCTTCTTCTTTTTCAGCATGGGCCCTGGCAAATTCTAGGTGGGCTTTTTTGTGCATGGGCTTTAGGAGAGGCTTCTTTCTTGGGCGACACCCATGCATGCCATGTCATGAGAAACAATCACCTCAGTTTGGCTTTCTACTGCTTTAGCTAACTGCAGAATATTTGCATGGGAATTTTCTTCAACCTGTCAGGGATCCTGTCGCCATGCAGCAGTGCGATGGATCCCCTCGAGTCGCGGCGGTGCGAGTGCGCAGGAGCGGGAGCGTGCGGCCACGCATGTGCGGTAGCGCGGAAAGCTTGTGCATACGCAGTAAGTGCTCACGTCAGGTCAGGCGGGCTATTTAAACCTGCTTCACTGTAAAATCACTGCCTTCTGGTCTACAACGTTCCTGCAATACTTTCCTGATCCTGATACCTGTATTCTGCATACCCGTCTAAGAAAGAACTCCGCCTGCACTGACCCCTGCTATCCCTGACCATTCTCTTGTCTGCTCCTCTTGTACTTCTCTGCCTTCTTGATATTGACCCTGCTTGCCTGACTCCTCTGTATTATCCTTCCTGCACCTGCACCTGACCTGCATCTGGTCGGCTACCATAACCACCTGCCACTGTACCCACGGCTCTGCATCTAGCCTGCATCCGGATCACCTCTATACCTGTCAGCCACCGCATCCACGCACCGGTGCGCGGTCCCAAAATCCGTACTCTGACTGCCGCCACCCTTGCTTGCTGCTGCACCTACGTTCCTGCACTCACACCTGGCTTGTGTCTGGATCGCCTGGGTCCCCAGCTACCTGCCAACGGTCTTCAGGATCCACACAGCACTCCTGCCACTCCTGGCTCTGTGCCCCTGTTCCCACTTCCAGGGGCTCCGAGCGGGGGTTGTAAGAGGACGCCCTCTCTCCACATCAGGCTCCCCAACCAGGTACGTGAGACAACCCTTCTTATCAGAAAACACTCCTGTTGAAATGTTAACTTCCATGGACGACCTTGACGTCTTTGTGATATGGTTGCAGTTCCATCTTTGTTAAATTTTTGTATTACTATTGCTACAGTATTCTGACTGATAAGTAAAGCTTTGCTGATATTCTTGTAGCATTCATCTTTCTTGTGTAAACAAATTATTTTCTTTCTCAGGCCTTGTGACATTTCTCTTCCATGTGGTGCCATTGCTGACAGCATGAAATGGGAAGGGGTTATCTTTGTTAAATTACAATCTTTTGTAATCAACTGTCTGCTGGACACCTGTTTAATAATAATTAGACTCACTTGTAGTTGAGTTCTTGTTAATTAGGATTTTGTTGTCTAAAATGTAGCTTTGCTCCTAAGACGTTTATTGGGGTGTTTGCTTTGAATCTAGGAGCCAGCTAAAAAATTTAGGAGCCAATTTTTTTTATCTTAGCATGGGTTGTCAGCAACTGGCGCAAAGACAACTTTTGGGCAACAAGCTTCACGCGATGCAATTTGCTGCACGACAATCACAGCAAAACCACACCATGTTTTAGGTGCCATTGAAAATAATGGCATCTGAATCTACATTTTGAGAACACAGCAGTTCTACCAGGATCTCAAAACTCCCAGGTGTGAATGGAGCCGCTCTGGTTCACACATATGCGATTCTGGATGCGGTTTCAAAATCACATATTTGCATGACAGGCTAGATATAATGTGTCCCTACTGAGGTGGTTCACACAGATGTGATCCACAAGTATTGTGTTTTTCAGTGCCAGTATGAAAAGGGTTCTGAGCGAATTTGTAGTGGTGCATTCCAGACTCACAAGTAATAGAGTAGAGTGGCATATGGAGATAAGGGTTCACATAGGATTGCTATTGAAAGGAGTTTTTGTATTGAAGTCTATGGGTGGTGTTTTTGCATTGGAGTCTACAAGAGGCGATTTTACATTGAAGTCTATGGGCGGCAATTTTGCATTGAAGTCGATAGGAAGCAATTTTGCATTGAAGTCTCTGGGAGGCAGTGAGTGAATCCAGGTGTCAGGATACAATTTATAGTCAACATGGCGCCTCGGATTTGTCAAGCTGTGTATATATATAAAATATATACATATTATAAAAGATAAGGCGGCACTCTTGGGGCTTGAAGGGTGGTGGTGCAGGGCCAAGCACTGGAGTAATATATATATATATATATATATATATATATATACACACACACACACACACAGTAATGGCCTCTCATAACATGGCATTCTCATGTTTATTTCTTTTGTTTGTATTGGTATGACACAAAAGAGTGGAGAAACAAAAAGCCAAAGCTAACACATTCCACACAAAACTCCAAAAATGGACTGGACAAAATTATTGGCACCTTCTCAAAATTGTAAGAAATAATTGCATTGTAAGTTTGTGATTCTCCTGTCATTTGTAATTAAACTCACCTGTATCAATTAACAGGTGCTGACAATATAGAAGTCATACCTGGAACCAGTTAAAATGATGCAAAACTGACTCAACCTTTCTGTTGTGTGTCTCTGTGTGACACATGGAGAGAAGAGAAAGAGCAGCAAAGAATTGTCTGAGGATTTCAAAACAAAAATTGTGGAAAAGCATGGACAATCTCAAGGTTACAAATCCATCTCCATAGAGTGTCCACTCTCTGACCATGGCACTGTAGCTAATCTCCTTGGATGTGGATGAAAGAAAAAAAATTGATCAAAGAAGGATTGTTCGAATGGTAGATAAAGAACCTCGATCAACTTCCAGACAAATCCAAGCTAACCATCAGGCACAGGGTACAACTGTTTACACTACACGTCACCATCTAAATGAAAAGGGATGCTATGGCAGGAGGCCCAGCAGGACCCCACTGCTGACACAGAGACATAAAAAAGCCAAATTGGAGCTTGCCAAAACTTACCTGAGGAAATGCTGTGGACACGTGAAACAAAATGACAGCTATTTGGTAAAGCCCATCATTCTACTGTTTTCAAAAAAAGCAATGAGGCCTTTAACCACCAGCGGCAGACTGACCATTCAAGCACTAGGGCACTGCCCGAGGGCCCGGGGTCAGCAGGGGGCCCTATGAGATGCCCCTGGTACCTTTCATTGGCTTTTTAATAGGCTTTTTTGGGTATGGGCATGGACACAGGGGCCCCATGATCCCCTATTGCCCGGGGACCCCAAGAGTTGTCAGTCCGCCCCTGTTAACCACACTGCAATACAGGGCACTTTTACCCCCTTCCTGCCCAGGACAATTTTCAGCCTTCAGCGCTCTCACACTTTGAATGACAATTGCGTGGTCATGCAACGCTGTACCCAAACAAAATTTTTATACTTTTGTTCACACAACTAGAGCTTTCTTTTGGTGGTATTTAATAACTATGACCATAGTAACATTGTAATACTTTGGGGAAGTGACCAATATTTTTTTTCTACACAATATGATTGCTTATAGCAAAGAATTTCTTTGCTATAGGCAAGCATTTAACTGAATCTAATCAATTAATTCAGGATTTTTTTTTTATGATTAGCTGTGATTGGCCATGGCTAATCACATGATACAGATGAGTTGTGATTGGCCCAGTCTGTGCATGTGATCACTGTAACCAATCACAGCTAGTGACACAATTGTATACAATGGATGGCATAAAAGGAAGCTATCCATTGTTTACAATTGTCATGTGATTGGTCACAGCAAGTCACATGGTACTAGCAGTGGGCCGGTACACAGATCTGTCATTGGCTGTGTCCAAGGTACACAGCCAATGACAGATCTCACCACAGCACGGCCCCGTGGGCACACGCAGGGCGCGATCCAGGAAGGATGTCATACGACGTCCCGCTTGGCTGTAACATTTTCCTATTGAACAGGCGGGAACAGATTAATGAAAAGAATACAGTCTCTACAGTCAAACATGGTGGAAGTTTGCTGATGTTTTGGGGTTGCTTCAGGCACTGGAGGTCTTGACCGTGTGCATGGCATTATGAAATCTGAAGACTGCCAAAGATTTCTGGGGTGCAATGCAGGGTCCAGTGTCAGAAAGCTGGGTCTCCCTCAGAGGTCATGGGTCTTACAGCAGGACAATCACCCAAAGCACACAAAAAGTATCCAGAAATGGTTTAAGACAAAGCGAGTACTGAACTGGCCAGTAATGAGTCCAGATCTCAACCCTATAGAGCACTCATGGAGAGATCTCAAAACAGCAGTTGGGAAAAGGAACCCTTCCAGTCTGAGAAACCTGGAGCAGTTGGCGAAAGAAAAGTGGTCCAAAAGACAGGTGTAAGAAACTCATTGATGGTTACAGTAAGTGATTGATTTCAGTTATTTTTTCCAAGTGGTGTGCTACCCAATATTAAATTGAGGGTGCGAATAATTTTGTCCAGTCCATTTTTTAAGTTTTGCGTGAAATGTGTCTGATTTGGCTTTTTGTTTCTCCACTTTTTTGTGTAATACCAATATAAACAAAAGAAAATTTTCTCCACTTTTTTGGTCATACAAATATAAACAGAAGAAATAAACATGAGAATACCTAGACATTTGTAATTGCAACAATTTCCTAACCTGCCTAATAAAGCTGACCAATTTTATTAGAAATTTTTCATTTTCAAAACATTTATTTGTTTTTCTATTGGTTATTGGGGACAAATCGATGTTCATTTTCAACAGTAGTGATATGAAACTTTGCAGGAGCAGGTTGGAAATAGAAATGGATGAAAAACAAGCATAATTCTAAACAAAATTCGAATTGTGAATGTGTTTTTTCCTTCAGGAAATATTGAACATGTGGTAATAAAACATGTTTTATACTGTACGTCTGTCATATAGCAGGCCAAGGCTTTCAAATGAAAGTAGCTGACTCAGTGATGGCAAGAACTGACATTCTGACAAATGTTTTTCTCTATGAATGTTGAAACAAAAACACTTACCCTGTACGGCCAGGCTCTCTGCAGCTGCTAGGAAGTAGGAGGACTATGTTAACAGTCAGCTAAGGTGGGAATTATCATTGCCATATAAATGCATTTTGTTTTCATTTTTTTGCTAAATGTGTGTTTTTTTGTGCTGAAAATAAAAAATAAAGCAGACTTTTGTAGCACTAACCCCTTAGGGATTGCTGATGAATTTGGGTCCCCTTATAGTTCTGCATAGCCAGTCATTTAGCATTTCTCACACAAGATCTCATCCAAAGACAGAAATCAGTCATTGTGCGTTGGTTTTATTATTTTATTGAGGGGACTAGAACTTGCATAGGGTAAAGGGGTATAAGATGTCCAAGGGAACCAATATCTGAAGACAACTTCCTGAACTATTCACTTCTCTTCTTCAGCAACACATTCTCTAGTGGAGTGCTAGCCAGCAGCTACTAGTTGTTCCACCCCAGACCCTAGGTGAACTCCTCTTCACCCAGCAATTAGACTTTCTTCTTGAGCAGAGGATATGGTTCCTGTTCCTTTAAATAAGGGGAACATTCACCAGCAGGGGGCTAATCTGATTTCCCAGCAGAGTGTTCCTTCCCCTATCCGCCCAGGGGGTATATGTGTATTCACTTGGAACCTCTCCTGTACCACTTGTGGGATAACTGCTGCTACCAGTCCTATCAACTGGGCTGCTCCTTCCCTGCCAAACAGGTGGTCCTCTCTCAGGGGGCCAGAGATTCCCAATTTTTCATCCTTTCCAGCTCCAGGCTCGCAGGCAGGCCCTATCCCACTAGGAATCTGGCAACCTTCCTTCTCCAACCTCACATCTTCCTACTCCTTCTTCCACCTGACTCCTCATGCTCCTGCTACTGAGCAGGCTCTTACACTTTTAAGAGATTCCCAGCCCCTTGCCAAGTCTTCTGTTGGGAACTGGCTGAGGTACCTCAAGAGTACGACCACCCACTCCTTAGATCCATGAACTGCCTCCAAGGCCCTCCTCCGAAAGCCTCAGAGCAGGGGGAAGTTTCAGAGGGGCTGGCCTGCAGAGTTTCTCAGCCCTGACCACAATTTGACCCCTCTGGCTATCACACCTGAGCTGCTAACCAGCTTCTGACTAACCATTAGGGTCTAGCTCCCCCTAGCTGCACTAGGAGGATGCTACATTTACCCCCTGCTAAAAACAGCCATGTCCTCATTGGCTGATGGCTAAAAAGAACACAAAATAGCTCCTGATCCCAGGGCCCCCCCTATACAAAAAAATGGGAGGGTAAAGGGGGTACAATAACTGGGAAGGGGAATGAAATATGTACAGAAAATGTAAATAATCAGTATAAAAAATAGAGATTTTGCATATGTGCACATTTACACAATTAC